TTATTGCACAGCTCAGGCTCTGGGGCCCACCAAAATTGAGGGCACAGGTTCATGTCCTGCTTGCAGGCCTCAGCTCCTGGCACTCAAATAAAATAATCCCTCCTCCTGTGCCACACTCTTCACATGGTTAAATTAAAGGAGGAAACACCAGAATAGGTTCCAAAAGATGTGTCTCCTCCAAATGCAGCTCAATCTCTGCAGTGTGAGGTTACAGCTAATGAGCAATTGACACAAAATGATGCCACAGAGAGCTGGTTTCTGGTCTGCACATAACCTAAAAGCAGCATTGTTGGATTATGCCCTTTTCTGACTCAGAGATGGGGCAACTGAGAGGCATTTAAAAAACTTTTATTCTGTTTTCTCATGTCTCATGTGAAGGGTGAGACAATGCAGATGTAAAATTCACTCCATCACAGTTAGATGCCATAACCTGACTGCAGCACAAGTGAGGACAGCTTGGGTTGGCAATCAGCTGTAAAAGCAATTCCTCCCTGGGCTGTTCCCCATCCCAGTCTGGGCAGCTTTTCCACTGCTCCATCCTGCCCTGCTGGGATTTCAGCCTGAATTGGCACACCCAGCCTGGTGCTCAGTGCACAGCAGTGCCTGCACAACTACCAGGTGTAAATGCTGCTACTCACTGCTGCCTCGTGGCTCTGGGCTGGAGGTTCCTCTGGTGCCACCAAGCAGGCATACAGGGCCAAGCCTTCCTCTGTCCAGGCCTGCTGCAGCCCCACCACCTCAAATGGAGCTTTGGGACCATCCTTCCTCGTCACAGGAGGCACCTGGAAATCCATTGGAACACAATTCCACTTTAGATGGACTGAGAAAAAAACCCTTTAACTTGCTCTGTTGCTTTTGAGTAGAGCCCCACAACAAGCCAGGGAGAACTGTGCTTTGATTAGTAGATTAGCTGTGGTTTAGTCAGTAGAAAAATCAATAAAGACCAAATTAAATAGGAATAACACATTGCTTTTGATAAGCCATGGGATTTATTTTCACAATGAGGACTTGCAGGCTCTGACTTCCACCAGTTTCACTGTGTGGAAGCAGGAATTCACATTATTTCCCTGCTCCAGCAGGGGTGAGCACAGAGCCCCTGCCAAGGCTGCCCAGAATGTTCCTGTCCCAGCAGCACTGTGTGTGCCTTGATCAGTGACACTGAGATCAATCCAATCCCAGCTCCAAATCAATGCAAAGGGAAGATGCCGTGCCCAGGGGCTGCTGCAGGCTCCCCTAAAACCCAAACTGACACCCCAAACCCCAGCAATCCCCAGACTGTGAATCCCCTTTTAGTTGGGCTGAGGTGATTTCTTTTTCATGAATTTTTTTGTGCACATGTGTGTGGGAGGCAAACATTCTATTTTCCAGTTTATAGATCTGATTTAAAGCAAAAAGGGTAAAAAGTGATTTCTGCAACCTCAAGGCATAAATTATTATTGTGAATATCAGTTTAGATCCAGGGAGAAGTTTCCAGGGGGACAGACTATGCCCTGGCTCTTTAGGTTGCTCAAAGTCAAATAAAACATGATATACTTAAACATGCAGAACACATTGAAATCTTGATCATAAGTTAGACAAGAGAGAGGAGAGACACCTGAAACAGCCTGGGAAGGCACTGAGATGCTGCAAACTGTCCAGGGCAAATGGTGAAAAGGGGCAGAAAACTGGGAAAGCCAGACCCAGGGAATCAGCAAAGCCAGGAAAGGAAAAGCAGAAGTACCTGATGCAACACATGCTCTGGATGGAGAGAAAGGCAAATCTGAGCTACAGGACTGTCATTCCCTCCCAGGGCTCTGGTGGATACAGAAATTCCAAGCCTTGTTCTCCTGGTTTGTACCATCACCAGTCTCTAGGTGCATTATCAGCTCTATTTACTGCATTTACAGGGAGATAAAGGCCTTTAAAAACATGTTTTTAACACAGGGCCAGGCTGGATTTTCAAACTGCTGCACAGCTGAGCTGGATCACTCAAAACACCAGCACCAAATCCTCCACTGGATTCCCATGGGGAATTCTGCACCATCCAGGGGACCACAGCTCCCAGCTGGCAGCATCCAGCACATCTCCCATGGAAGCAGCAAGGAAATGCTGATTTACACAAGCCAGCCCATGGAATTGCATGGATTACCAGATGAGAATTTGGTCTAAAAATGCCTCAACATCTCCAATTGTCACAGATAATTTTATGAAAAATCCTTTCCTTAGGATTTTTCCTCCTGAGAATCTGGAGGCCTCAGGAACAAAATGTAAACAATGATTATCTGCTGCTGTGGAATGCAACAGATGGATCTTTGATTGGCCCATGTTGGTTGTTTCTAATTAATGGCCAATCACAGTCAGCTGGCTGGACTGTCTTGGTCAGTCACAGGATTTTGTTATCATTCCATTTTTTCCCCTTGTTTGCTACCTTTCTGATGAAATCCTTGCTTCTATTATTTTAGTATAGTTTTAATGTAATATATATAATAAAATAATAAACCAGCCTTCTGAAACACGGAGTCAACATTCTCATCTCTTCCCTCATCCTGGGACCCCTGCAAACACCACCACATCCAATTCCTTCAGTGAAAGAAATGCAAACTTCTTCATTGCTATCCAACAGCCACTTCAGAGCCTGGGTAGAATAAACTGGTGGATTTTATCCCAGTTTTTCTTGGGCACAAAATGCATCAGAACATGTGAGCCTGCACCCAGCAGAGTGACACAGCCCTGGAAGCTGAGGAACCCTTTCAGGCTCAGAGAGAAATGCTATAAATCAGAGCTCAGTTGTGGTTTTTCAAATGGTAATAACACAAGGGAAGAGAGCTCACACTGCAGCTGGTCACAAGCTAAGGAGTCTGAAAGGAAAATTCAGGATGCAGGGCTGTTCCAGTGGCAATTTTCATTAGCACTGAACTAACACTAAAGAATGTTAGCAATGTTTTAATGCAAGCACGAACATCATTAACAATTAATTGTGTTTAAGTGGGGTTTAAGTGATTTAAAAGCCTGGCTGCTCAGGGTGAAATCTACCTTGACTGTGTGGATCAGTATTGGTATCCCAGAGTTTTCTCCAGGGAAAGGAATAAGGCCACTGAGCAGGGTGGGAAGGAAAAATATACATTGGGGAGGGAAAATACACAGTTTTCCCTAGGGAATAAAGGGAGAAATGGATGAGAAGGAGAGAGGATGGGGTGGTTTCTTCAGAGGAGAAAAACATGAGAACCAAAGGACAATTAAGGAGCCTCTCATTTGTTCACAGCACTCTTGACTATCAGGAATGGTCTGTTCTTATCTAGAACAAGTGGTGAAAATCAGGCACCTGTGTCCACTGCCAAGGACAAAGCCCAACAGCCAGCAGTCACTTTGAACCACTGAAAATCCTGCTCAACAACCTTTCACCTCTTCAGAAACTCCACACACAACCCAGCTCCACCAACTCCGGCAACACTTTTATTTACAGACTCCAAGGTGAATTAAAACATAATTTCCACTTTGTTCAGCCACTGCTTTGTAGCTATTAGGTGGAAAAAGGAGATTTCAGGGGTGATTATGTATTCAGTGGAGGCCCAAACACAGCCCTCATCACCCAGAGCCTTTAGTGGCAGGTCACTGCATATGACCATGTTCACAGGGGTTCTTGGATGAGGCAAGAGATGAGAATGTTGACTCCATGATCAGAAGGCTCGATTTATTATTTTATTATATATATATATTACATTATAACTATACTTAAAAGAAAAGAAAGGAAAAGGTTTCCTCAGAAGCTAGCTAAGCTAAGAATAGAAAAGAAAAGAATGAAAACAAAAGGCAGCTCTCTCAGACTCTGTCCGAGATAGCTCTGTCTTGATTGGCCATTAATTATAAACATCTAAGAGGAGCTAATCACAGGTGGACCTGTTGCATTCCACAGCAGCAGATAATCATTGTTTACATTTTGTCGCTGAAACTGCAGCTTCTCAGGAGGAAAAATCCTAAGAATGGATTTTTCATAAGAGATGTCTGCAACAACTGCACTCACCAGGGACAGCAGCCACGTCAGCAGGGCCTGGTAGATGTTGGCAGCTCCCAGCACCCTGTCAGGCACCTGCCCCTCACACTGATCCGTGGCCACCTGGCCACAGCTTGCCAGCCAAATGGTCAGCAGCAGCAGCTCCCTCCTCACACTGCAGCATCCAGGCAACGTGGCAATAGCTGGCAAAAAAGAGGCTTCCTGTCCAAAAAGAAGATAGCAGGAAAATGCAAGTCACTTGGATTAGTGGAAATGTATTCATCATCAGGAATTAATTACATTCATTGCCATCACAGGAGGGGCATTTAACACCCAGAGAGCATTTATCAAGGAGGGAGAATGAGCCAGAAAAGCCAGGTTGTTCCATCAGTGACACCTGCCTGAGCACTGCAGGTTTTCTTGGACAGCTGTCACCTGGGCCCTCATTTAGCCACACACTGCCTGGTGAATGGAGGGTTACACAGTCACAGCTGGAAAAGTGGGATTGAATTTATTCTGTATTCAAGACTCAGTGTTTGGGGCTTTTTTTTTAATCACTGAAAAGCCCTCAAACAAACCTGATAGTGTGAAAACTCATTATTTTCTGCTTCACCTAACATCCCTAATTTCAGAGATGAGGTCACAGTTAAGGGAACTCACCTCCTTTCTTTACCTCAGCATTGATAGTTGGTTATTTAGGATGCAAATTCCCTCTCCTTTAAGAGAACTGTTCAAGACACAACTTCAGGCTTGAACTGTGGACTTGCAGGTTTTTGTCCTTCCACAGATGCTGCAGCTGTAATTATAGGCTGTCTTCTTCTTCCCATCTATATTCAACTTGCTGCCCATGACATTTCTTTGGAAAATTATTCATAAAGTCCCAAAAATCCCAAAAATTCTCCAGTGCTGCTCCTCAATAGCTCCCATCACAAAATCATGGAAGGGCTTGCCTTGGAAGGGGCCTTAAAACTCATTTTCTTCCACCCCCTCCCACAGGCAGGGACAACTTCCACTGGACCAGGCTGCTCCAAGCCCCATCCAACCTGGCTCACATTTTCAGTTGCTCCATGTAGCCCATAATGAGGATTTCTGCCCACACCTCTACACTGAATGAACCTTAATTTGATTTACCTGAATTTACTCTGAAAGCAAAGTAAGCTAAATCCAATTACAGTCACTTTAATTCTGAATTAAAATGTCCAAAAGTGTGTTTCACAACTAATCCACTTGACAAGTTAATGTAGCTTGACTTTTGTGCTGGTCCTCAGAACAGACAACTCCTTAAAATGGTTTAATAAGGACTCAAACTAAAGCAGCTCTACTGTGTCACCCAGTGTTTTGGTACCAAATAAAACTGTAAATTAGTAATAAAGGCAAAACAGCCGTGAAAAATGTGTGTGATGCTGCAGATTTGTATTAATTCATGGTACTGTAGTCCTGGGGTGCCAACAGAATTCCTCAGGGCTTTGATCCTTCCACTGAAACCCCCTGAGGAAGAGACTTTGGGATAAACTCAGGGACCATGAGGGAAAAGTGACCTTCCCCTATATCCTGTGCTGGAGGAAGGATCCTTCCCTCCTCCCTCAGCAAGGGTGTGGGGATCAACTGAAGAGCTGCTGACATGAACAGGATCTGTAAGAAATGTTTCAGCAGGAAATCTCCACCTATTCCAAACTTCCTTGGCCCGGAGGGTTTTCTGACCAAAATCAGATCAATTTACTCATTAAGGTCCTTTCTGACTGAAGTTCTGGTGAAGGTTGGACCTTCCCTCTCCTGCCTCTGGCAGCCTCCTCACCCCAACAAGAATCTAAGCCTAGAGCTTGAATAAATTCTGAAGTATTAAGACTAAAGAACAAAAAAATGAGCTAATCCAGTTTCATTCTGGGCAAGAACACCTGAATAAAGATAAAACTGGTGCTTTCAGGGTATGGCTTCCCACAGCACTGCCCAGTTTAGCCCAGTCTGCAGAGGAGAGTTCAATCTGCCCACGTTACACTGGCTTTTATTTGTGAAGTATTAGGTTATAAAAAGCCCAGAATTACTGAAATGCTGGGCTATTTTTGGTTGCTCTGGCTGGAATTGTGCTGTCACTCAGAGATAGGCTTGCAGCTGATTGCAGTCAAGTGCCAACAATTACCAAAGAGTAAATAAGATAAAATTTCCTATTCCCAAGTTCTTGCAATTTTATTTTGCAATTATAGTTTGTGTCTTTACAAGTTCCAGTCCTTCAGCTCAGTTTCCCAACCCCTTCCATCCCCAGCCTTGGCCTTTTTAACTCTCACACAACACCAGTGGCAAGGAGGAGCAGCAACCACAGTGAAATACCCATGATAATCCCAAAGGAAGATAACATTAATTAAAAACTCATTTTAAAAAGTGGAAATTTACCTTCATATTATGATTATTTTAAACCAGAGCTGTTTATGATAACAGCAAGCCAAGGCCTGGTGGGCACAAGATTGCCAGCCAAGATTAAGATCGTTTTATTTCTAATAAAACAGCTCAGAGTGGTTCAATGATGCTTTGTTGATGTTTTTTTTAAAGAGCAGTTAGCATTACTCTTCCTACACATCCATGTTAGATTGGACAAAGAGTTTCAAAGACTGGGAAACATTCATGCCAAAGCTGTGAGAGGCTGGAATGGCCAAGTTTAGGAGAATTTCACAAAGATTTCCCAGCAGAATCAACCCATCAACCCAAGGAGTTGCCCTAGTGGCAGGATAGGCTAAAGAAAAACCAATTTTTTACTTTAATATGCACAATCTCTCCCTCTGAGGTAAATAAAACTTCACTATTTCCCTCCCAGCACCTTTTCCAACACTAACATGGAAGCAAGGCAGAATATTCCACCCAAATCCTGTCCCTACTCCACTGGACAGACCCTGCAGCAGCAAAAGCTCCATCCAAACATCCCCTGCTTGGAAAAAAAGAGAAGTTAAACTCACAGAATCTCCTCCTTCACCACAGAGGGGTGAGTGAGGGGCAAGAGGAGGAACAGCAAGGCTGTCACTCTCATTGGCTGGAGGTTTAATCAAAATAATTGTTTCCAGCCCTGTCTAAATTTATCCCCCTATGTCATCTGCACCCTAGCTCAGATCCCAGATTTAAGAGGCAATCCCTGATGAATGGCAAATTACTGACTGCAGAACTCTTTTGCCAAAGGATGCATCTGCTGTGGGTTTGTAAATGTGAGCTGATTTCCAAGTGCTGGAGCAGCTCAGCTCATTTCTCTAATGAACCTTCCCCTCTCATTGCACAGCTGCTCTGGCATTCCATGTTCTGCTCTGCCCTGCTCAGAGCTCCTGGTACAGGACATAACCGTGATCATTGTGTGGTTATATCCCCATTTCCCACACGGTCACATGGGAAATGCAGGATTTTTAGCACACATTGAACAATTCTGGCCATCTAAAGCAAAGCAGATTATCACTATTCCACGGCTTCTAAAAATTCTTGCATTAGATGAAGACATATTGGAAATGTCAAGTGTTTGTGCATTTTCATTCTGTGGGGAAGGAAAAATGATGACAATGCCATCTGTTAGATGATTTGAAACTCCACATTAAAGTGTGGAATAAACCCTGAAACCATTCAAAAAACTGCTTTATCACTGCAAAGTGGGAGCAAGGGGTGAGAATGAGGAGAGGATCTGCAGTTCCTGCATGCAACTGGCAGAACACTCTGGAATTAGGAAGTTGACTTTTCCTCACAAAAAAAGAAGAGTACAAGTGATATTTAATGGTCTGAATGGTCTTTTTGTAAATGCATTTCTGTAGCAGAGTCACTCTGTGGCACCACTGCCTTTCTGAGCATCACGCTGAGGTTATGGACATGAAAAACACGATGGGGGCAAGATGGCATTGAAATTTCTGATGTGGATGAGGCTCAGATTGCTCAAATGGAGGAATGATGGTGCTCCAAAGCAGATAACTCTGCCAAGGGAGGCTGCAGGGATTCAGGGAGCTGTGTAATGGAGCATTATTTGCTCTGATCTCCATAGTTTTCAATTCACTTAGGGCACTCCAGATCATGAGAATTTAAGTTAAAAATATAATAATAAACAAAATGTCCTTGCTGACAGTTTTCTTGCTCTGGACAATTATTCTTTGTCTTGGGTATGAAGAATAAAACCTCTTAACTGCACTAAGGGAATTCTCAGCTGCTTCACTGGAGTTAATGGCTCATCTATCAAAGATGGGGATAAATCTGGTCCATAGCATTTGTTAGCAGAGAGATGCTGTGGATCACACAGGATCAAAATATTTTTGGTCCAAATTCAACAAATTAAAAATCCATTCAAATAACCTGTAACAAGCAGCTTTTTTTAACATGTAATTTATTCTTTATTTTTTAGAAGTAGGAAAATTTTCTTTAAAAGACTCCGCTCAGGTAAACACTGACCTGAGAAATGCATTAAAATTTAAACCAAAGCAACACTGAGTCTTATTTGAGTTTGTTTGCTTTCCAAGCCATAATCATTAAAAATGAGAAGTGCCTTTTCCATGATTGGTGTTTACACTCCAGTAACACTTGGAGAGGCTCAGAAGGATTCCCAGCCTCATTGTGCTGGTGTTCTGAGCACATGTAACAAAAAGTTCCTCCTCTAATGAGTTTATACTCCTGGTTAATGAGAAGCAGCTGAAATGAGTAAAGGAAGTTTAATTACTGACACATTTCATGTGAGCACAAGACTGGGAATGGGGTACTTGTGCCTCAGTCCTGGCTCTGGGATGAAGTATTTCTCTGTGGAACTGTAAAGTGAGGATAATATTTCCTTATCCTGGTCCCTGTCTAGCTGGATTCATTATCAAGACTCTGTAAAGTGCTCTGAAGAGGAAGAGTGTAAGATAATCAACTAACTTTCAAAATTATCCTCTGTTCCATTTCCTAATTCTCAAAGTGTTGTCACCTCTCAGCCCCCTCCATGTGATCTTATCTGCATCTTCTACTTGTTCTTCAAAGGATTCCAGCCTGGATGTGCCAGCACTTCCAGACCCTGCCAGGGAAGGGAATTGCACATGGTCAGTTGGAAATGCTGGGACAGAGCATGGAATTTGTTCTCAGCCATCTGAAATCCAGGCTGGTTTGAATCCTATGGGAATGGCTCTGCTTGGATACTCCAGGAGATTCCCAGGGGGGTGGAACAAGAGAACCCTTAAGGTCCCTTCCAACCCAAACCATTTGGGATTGGTTCTATGATTCACCACATATTTATCACCTTG